CTGTCCTTTCTAACTCTTCTTCTCCCACATATTGGGTTAAGTATCGTCTGAGTATACTTAACTCGAAGCAAATATACCATATATCAGCATATTGTTGATGACACTCCCCTTTCTTCTCTCAGTATTTGAGACAATCATCCGAATGCAGGATTCCCCGTTCGTGTAGCCGCCGAGAGAGAGAATCCGCTGGGTATCCGGGTATCCGCGAACGCCTCTCTGGATATCCGAGAACGCTGGACGGAGAGAGAAAAAAAAAAAAAAACAAAGCGACAGATTGGTGCTCGCTGACAAATGACCCGGCTCTCGGTGTAAATACACGCACAATCAAGCAGTAGATTTGTTACGTAGGCATTTTGTGCAACCGTGCAATACAGCTGCCGAGACAAACACTCGATCATTGTCAAATTTGCCGCGTTGTACAGTATCAACAAAAGTCTCGGCGGGCAGCTGGCGCAGGCCGTCGGTGATTGGTCGACGTCTAGCCAATCAGCGTGGATTAAATGCTCCTGGATCACACCCTTAATTTCTTCGATGTATTTTTCTCTTTTTTCTTTTTTGTCATTGCTTTTTTATAGTATTCATCATTCTATTACTATTTTAATCTTTATTATTTCTCTCTCTCTCTCTTTATTCTTAGCTATTAATCAAATTATACCCGCAAATGGAAATTACATCAATCATTCCATCGGTCTTTATACACACGCTAGTTATACTGAAGGTTGCAAGAAAGTTGCATTGGCGAGTCTTTCATTTTGCGAACAACGAGGTGCAATAAAATACCAATAATGTTTTTTAAAGTAAGCTTTATCAGTTGCAATATGATGACGAGGTTGTGAATCTAGCAGTTTGGTTGTATACTTGTTTTATTTCTTATTCTCTCTCTCTCTCTCTATCTATCTATCTGTCTATCTATATATCTATCTCTCTCTCTCTCTCTCTTCTCTCTCTCTCTCTCTCTTCCATTTTCCTTTTTTTTGGTAACTGAAAGAAATTGCTTACATAAATGAAAGAGAAATCTATGGCACTTTGTCAGGTGTTTGAAAAACTGGTATGACAAGACGCCTAAATCTAATGACATAATGTGAATCCTTAAGACACACACACACACACACATGTATATATATATATATATAATATATATATATATATATATATATATATATATATATATATATATATATATATATATATGTATATATATATATATATATATATATATATATATATATATATATATATATATATATATTATATATATGTGTATGTATATATATATATATATATATATATAATATATATAATATATATATATATATATATATATATATATTATGTGTGTGTGTGTGTGTGTGTGTGTGTGTGTGTGTGTGTACCTACACACGCATACACACGCACATAGATATGTATGCGTGTATGTGTTTCCAACAGGAATACATTCCACGCGGATAATAAAAAACTGATACTCTTTTCGAGAATGTGGGAAAAAAATCAAAATTATATATTTGGACAATTCATTTAAAAAAAAAAATCATCAATCGGTTTGGTGAATGAATTTGTTGTGTGATTTTCGTTGTTTATGAACTTCCCACTTTGTGTAATGATATACCGAAGGACTCAATTTTATTCTATCAAGTTATTTTGTCAAAGTTCAACACCTCCAGCACCAAAGACGAAGAAAAAATTATTTGAAACTGTAATTTATTTATTTACATTTTTTTTTTTTATGATTTCCCCTCCTCCTAGTTCTTTACTTTCTTCCTTTTTTTCTTTGTTTCTTTTCCCTCCTCTTTGCTGTTCCTCTGCTTGTCTCTCTCTCTCTCTCTCTCTCTCTCTCTATCTATCTATCTATCTATTACTATATATATATATATATATATATATATATATATATATATATATATTATAATATATATATATATATATATATATATATATATATATATATATATATATATATATATATATATATATATATATATATATATATATATATATATATATATATATATATATATATATATATATATATATATATATATATATATATATATATATATATATATATATATATATATATATATATATATATATATATATATATATATATATATATCCCTCGCTCCCTTCGTTTCTCCCATCCTCTCCAACACAGCCATCAACTCCCTCCTTCACCGACTACCCCCTCCTATGTCCTATCTCCCCCCCACCATCACCCTCCTATACCTCCCTCTCCCTCCCTAATCCTCCCCCTCCTCCCTCCCTCCCTCCTCCCAACCCCCTCCCCCCTCCCTCCCCCCCCCCCCAACCCTCCTCCCTCCCCCCCCCCCCTCCCTTATCTCCCCTCCAATATTCACTATATTTGGAGTGTAAACAAAGGATTGCATCACGTGTTCCATGCATATTTCGGATTTGCGCGTGCAAGCCCTCTGCAACGGCAATAAGTGTGCGGCATTGCAGTCCGCACAGGCGCATTGTTGTTCTCGAGGTCCTGTGTGGAGTCCGTTGGTTATTATATCTTTTGTTGTATCTTTTTTTTGGGGGGGGAGGGGAGGGGGGTAATCAATAGAGAGAGATGAGAAGATAATACCCTCTGAGAGGTTTTTTCTTTCTTTTCTTTTCTTTCTTTCTTTTTTGTTTGGTGTGTTGATTCATTCGCATTTATTATCAGTCCGTTTTATTCACTTGTTCATCTGTGTGTTCGTCTGTTTATTTATCTATGATTTGTTTACCGGTTCATTCATTTATTCATTTATTCTTATCTCTTCATCCATTCACTTTTCAACAGACTTCCTCTTTCCATCCTTCGTAGACTGTATCTTTCTCCCTCCATCCTTATCTCTTTATGCGAAAAAGATATCTGTTTGGGAATCTAGGTCGCTTATCCTAATGCTGATTCATTGCCTTATCGACTGGAGTTTTTCCGAAATATTTACAACTGAAGGTTCGTCTGACTTTCCTTCGACTCCAAAAGACTATATGTGAAAGATGGGAAAGTACGTCTCACACCACTGAAAAAAATGTGATGCCCGAAACTCCATACAGCGCCATCTGTTATTCAGATATTACACTGTTTGCCAAGCGATGGAGCTCACAGAATTTTGACGTGCTTTCCTATCTTTCGTAAATAATCCTTGCTTCAACTCCATTACTGACACCAAGTTAGCTGTTCGTGTGAGACAGTTTCAGAGGGAATAATTTTTTTTAAGGATAATATTTTGGAAAAGGAAGTAACGATGTGATTCTATTGCGGACTTTTTTTCTTCCTTTTTTTCTACTTTCGGATTTAAGTAGAAGAAAAAAATGTGTATATATATTATTTATTATTATTATTATTATTACCGTCGGGTTTAAGTAGAAGAAAAAAAGAATGTGTATATATACGATGATAAAGAAAAGACTTCATCTTATAAGAGGCAAAGTGAAAGGAAATCACAGCTAAGAAAAGAAAAAATAAAATAAAACTAGGCCTAAAAGAAGGTAACAACACTAACCCTGTATAAACACTTCAGTCAGGTGCTATAACATTGTAGTTCTTAGGTTTTAAGTGGCGTTAGGTGTTGTCCCTTCCCTCTCCCCTTCAACATCACTTAAGGATAATCATGTAAATAATCTCTGTAATTATATTAGGTCACTCCCCACTCACCCGAAACGAGGTCAAGATTAACTCCCTTGTCCTGCGCCGCCAAAGTGAAAAGCTGTTCTCATACAAACACCCTGTGAAGGCATACTTGTGTGCATACACCCTTGGGCCATCGTCCTGTTCAGCTAATTACGTACAGTATGTATTGAATATGTATGTACAAGGATGTATGCCTGTGTGTGTGTGTGTGTGTGTGTGTGTGTGTGTGTGTGTGTGTGCGAGTGAGACAGTGTGAGAGAGAGAAAGTGTGTGTGTGTGTGTGTGTTGTAGAGAGAGAAAGTGTTGTGTGTGTGTGTGTGGTGTGTGAGTGAGACAGTGTGAGAGAGAGAAAGTGTGCGTAAGTGTGTGAGTGTGCGTGCGTGTGTGTGTGCTTTCAGGTATGTATATAGGTATGTATACATGTATGCATACTGTAAATGCATGTGTGTATACATCTATGTCTGCATATATGCGCACACGTTTGTATCTACGAAAGTACGTATAAATGTACATATGTACGTAACGCATGTATCTATACGCGTATGTATGTACGTGTGCACGAGACTCCCAATAAGAATAAAACGAAAAATTACACTATCGGATTTGTTATTAAGATAGTGATGAGTTATTTATACTTAACAGTGATACCCATATTTGGATAGGTATTCTAGCTTCCACAAACTAACGAAAAGTTTGAATCTCCAGACATTAAATAACGTGATTTTAATTCCCTTCCCTTGGCTTTTTATCTCCAAAGGAAAAAAAAAATAAAATTAACATATTCCTGCAGTTGTTGACTCGTGTGTGTCTTGTTATTCCCTTGACACTTAGATGGCATAGGATTCACATATAATCAAACAGAAACCCAAAACAGGCTGAAATGATGTAAATAAAAAGAAAAAATCAAATGTAAACCATTCTCTCTTTCTATCCCCTGTCATTCTTATACGTATATATATATATGTATATATATATTATATATATATATATATATATATATATATATATATATATATATATATATATATATATATATATATATATATATATATTATACATACATATTATATACATATATACATACATACTATACTTATACATACATACATACATATATATATATACATATATATATATATATATATATATATTATAATATATATATATATATATATATATATATATATATACATATATATATATATATATATATATATATATATAATATATATATATATATATATATATATATATATATATATATATATATATATATATATATATATATATATATATATAATATATATATATATATATATATATATATATATATATATATATATATATATATATATATATATATATATATATATATATATAT